GTACATCTTCACTGCTGACAGTAAAACCTCCCATGTGTACATATTCACTGCTGACAGTAAAACCGCCTCTGTGTACATCTTCACTGCTGACAGTAAAACCTCCTCTGTGTACATCTTCACTGCTGACAGTAAAACCTCCTGTGTGTACATCTTCACTGCTGACAGTAAAACCTCCTCTGTGTCCATCTTCACTGCTGACAGTAAAACCTCCCTTGTGTACATCTTCACTACTGACAGTAAAACCTCCTCTGTGTACATCTTCATTGCTGACAGTAAAACCTCCTCTGTGTACATCTTCATTGCTGACAGTAAAACCTCCTGTGTGTACATCTTCATTGCTGACAGTAAAACCTCCTATGTGTACATCTTCATTGCTGACAGTAAAACCTCCTCTGTGTACATCTTCACTGCTGACAGTAAAACCTCCTCTGTGTCCATCTTTACTGCTGACAGTAAAACCTCCTCTGTGTACATCTTCATTGCTGACAGTAAAACCTCCTCTGTGTACATCTTCATTGCTGACAGTAAAACCTCCTCTGTGTACATCTTCACCGCTGACAGTAAAACCTCCTCTGTGTACATCTTCACTGCTGACAGTAAAACCTCCTCTTCCATCTTCACTGCTGACAGTAAAACCTCCTGTGTGTCCATCTTCACTGCTGACAGTAAAACCTACTGTCCATCTTCACTGCTGACAGTAAAACCTTCTGTGTGTCCATCTTCACTGCTGACAGTAAAACCTCCTCTTCCATCTTCACTGCTGACAGTAAAACCTCCTGTCCATCTTCACTGCTGACAGTAAAACCTCCTGTCCATCTTCACTGCTGACAGTAAAACTTTCTCTGTGTCCATCTTCATTGCTGACAGTAAAACCTACTCTGTGTACATCTTCATTGCTGACAGTAAAACCTCCTCTTCCATCTTCACTGCTGACAGTAAAACCTCCTCTGTGTACATCTTCATTGCTGACAGTAAAACCTCCTGTCCATCTTTACTGCTGACAGTAAAACCTCCTCTGTGTACATCTTCATTGCTGACAGTAAAACCTCCTGTGTGTCCATCTTCACTGCTGACAGTAAAACCTCCCATGTGTACATCTTCACTGCTGACAGTAAAACCTCCTCTGTGTAAATCTTCACTGCTGACAGTAAAACCTCCTCTTCCATCTTCACTGCTGACAGTAAAACCTCCTCTTCCATCTTCACTGCTGACAGTAAAACCTCCTCTGTGTCCATCTTCATTGCTGACAGTAAAACCTCCTCTTCCATCTTCACTGCTGACAGTAAAACCTCCTCTTCCATCTTTATTGCTGACGGTAAAACCTCCTCTTCCATCTTCATTGCTGACAGTAAAACCTCCTCTGTGTACATCTTCACTGCTGACAGTAAAACCTCCTCTTCCATCTTCACTGCTGACAGTAAAACCTCCTCTGTGTACATCTTCACTGCTGACAGTAAAACCTCCTCTGTGTCCATCTTCATTGCTGACAGTAAAACCTCCTCTGTGTACATCTTCACTGCTGACAGTAAAACCTCCTCTGTGTACATCTTCACTGCTGACAGTAAAACCTCCTCTTCCATCTTCATTGCTGACAGTAAAACCTCCTCTGTGTCCATCTTCACTGCTGACAGTAAAACCTCCTCTTCCATCTTCACTGCTGACAGTAAAACCTCCTCTGTGTCCATCTTCATTGCTGACAGTAAAACCTCCTGTCCATCTTCACTGCTGACAGTAAAACCTCCTCTTCCATCTTTATTGCTGACAGTAAAACCTCCTCTTCCATCTTTATTGCTGACAGTAAAACCTCCTCTTCCATCTTCATTGCTGACAGTAAAACCTCCTATGTGTACATCTTCATTGCTGACAGTAAAACCTCCTCTTCCATCTTCATTGCTGACAGTAAAACCTCCTCTTCCATCTTCATTGCTGACAGTAAAACCTCCTATGTGTCTATCTTCACTGCTCCAATGACAGGTGCTACTGCAGCTATCATATGGGTTCTCTTTTGTCCCTGGATCCTTTGTGACCTGACCCCAACAGATCCATATAAGTCCCTGGAGGACTGTGGTCTACCCAAGCAAAGTTACCTTTTATATCAATGTCTTTGATAATTACAAGGCACACCAGTTCTCATAATAAACGTGGCCACACGCAGAAGTCCCTCTTTAGTCCCATAAGTTTAGTATTGATTCAGTGTTGAACTGTAGATTCAGAAAATGGCGAGTGACCTTTTGCCCCAGAACTGGTGGCACCTCTTGTGATTAAAATTAACCACATGTGCAGCTGTTGACCTGTTTTTATCTGCTGCTTCCGTCGATGACGAACTGCATTTCTAATGTCGGACTGTTTGTGTTAGCACTTCTGATGGCTGCCATATGCTTTCAATGCACGTATATGATATTGCATATGCTGAGACTGCAATCTGTGTCAATTTGTCCACAAGGGATAGACATTCTGTGTGTTTTTCACTGGCACAGGAGCAGAGCATCTAGGTGGGTGACCCGTTTGCCACAAAGCTTAAACTTAGATTGCCAAGATGACCAAGCTATCAGTGGCCCAGTGTTTTTTTCTTTGCCTGCTGTAGAGAAGACAATCCCGGAGAATATTTAATTTTCATACATTTCACTGATTAGCAATATGAAGGTCATTATTTGGCATCTGACCATTTTTGGAGTCCTGACATGATCTGATCCCAAATGGCCAGACTTTCAGGAAACTACTGCATGTGCCTCTAAACAAAAACTAGCAGTTCAAATACAGCAAGCCAACCAAGCCATCAAGATAATCTTTTTTAAAACTGACACAAATAAAATGTTCGCAAGCATTCTGAGTGCGAACATTAGATGATAATAATAAATATGATCTACACACCATGCATTGGTAAACATCCAGAAAATCAGAATTTAAAAATTATTTTTAACATGCCAGATAAAACATGAAATCAAACTCAAACTGATGCATCTACAAGGCAGTAATTTGACTGTAAAACTGTGAAAATGTTGATTATTTTTTGTAATGAACGAAAAGATTTCTCTCCAGCAAGCAAACAATCAGATGAGAGACCTGTGCTTCACAAGGCAAAAAAATAAAAATCACATCTGGTGCTGGAAAACACATACAAATATCATATAATTAATTCCTATAATCTTTGCTTCAGTAATTCATCAAGAAATACTGAAGTTTATTTGTGTTTTTAAAAAAAGTGACAATGACAACATCGCTTATATAATTGTTACAAGCAGACAAAAAAAAAAGTTTTATCAGCTGCAGTGACACTACAAGAAACCAACACGAATAAGCCAAAAGCATAGACAATTTAGATACAACGACATTTCAGGACCACAACAGGAATGAACAGCAAACATGGACAACATTACAAGACGTCAACATGAATGAACAGCAAACATAGACAACATTACTGGACAACATTACAAGACAACAAAAATGAACAGCAAACATGGACAACGTTACAAGACCACAACAGGAATGAACAGCAAACATGAACAACATTACAAGACAACAACAGAAATGAACAGCAAACATGAACAACATTACAAGACCACAACAGGAATGAACAGCAAACATAGACAACATTACTGGACAACATTACAAGACCACAACAGGAATGAACAGCAAACATGGACAACATTACAAGACCACAACAGGAATGAACAGCAAACATGAACTCAGATAGTGACAATACAAGACATCAACAAAAATGAAGAGCAAGCATGGACAATCAGAATCAGAGACAATACAAGACAACAACAGGAATGAACAGCAAACATAGACAATCGGATGCAGTGACAATACAAGACATCAACAAAAATGAACAGCAAACATGAACAATCAGATACAGAGACAATACAAGACAGCAACAGGAATGAAGAGCAAACATGGACAATCAGATACAGTGACATTACAAGACAACAAAAATGAACAGCAAGCATGGTCATGAATATTCAATGTACTAGAATTCAATAATTAAGTGAAAAGACAAAATTTACAGTCTGACACAAGGCATTTGAAAAAAAAAAAAAACACAACGGACAGTGGTTCAAGATATAAAAAATATAAACGACTTGGTGTTTCATGAATTCTGAATCAGAGAAAATCTAGTAACAATTTATCATTTAGAAAACTGTTACTGTAAGATTTAACAACATTCATAAACAAACAAAGATCAGTTAGTTAAGAACATACTAAAATTAATTCCAGTGACTCAAAAGGTGAAGAAAAGAGCTAGTGCTGGATAGGACACACGCTGAGAAAGGTCTTTACAACCCACAGTGAATGGAAATAAAACACACAAAGAGAAGGGACAAGAGAATAAGCACGGAAATGAAGGTAGAACACACTCACACACACAAACACACATAGAGAAGGGACTAGAGAATAAGCACGGAAATGAAGGCAGACCACTCACAGAAGGGACCAGAGAATGGGAACAAAACAGACAGGAAGGTCACGTGGTAAGCTGCATGCAAAGGGTAGAAGAACTTGATTGAGGGCCTTTGCTTCAATCGAGCACATGCAGAAGAAATACTAGAGGTAATTATTCATAAGTCAATTATTCATATTCTATTTCACTCATATAATTATTCATGTACTCAAACAAAAATAGGGATTCTTGAACATTGAAAACACTGAAATAAAGTAATGACTATGAACCATAAACTAAAATAAAGTGGAAGAATTCATGAAAAGAATTCAGGCAAAAGTAATGAATCAAACACTTAGATCAACCGAAAATTTATGAAATACAAATAAAAGCAAAATTACAACCCATGAACAACATATCAAAACAGTAATGATATAAAAGTTCAAAGTGAAGGATAAACATAAAAAATATTGGCGCTAATTCCGTCCTGCCGCTAAGAAATTTCTCTCCCCAACTACAACAGTCTTTTCTCAAAGTCTGATACTCATCCAAGCCAAAGTGAAAGGTTGGAAGTCATCTGTATATGAAGTAAACCTTGATGACAATAGGGCTACACCGTCTACGGACTTCCATCCCTGTGGGAAAAAAAATGGACACATAAAGGTAAGCATTTACAGACTTCCATCTCTGTGAACAATAAATAAAACAATAAAGGTAATGTTTATGCTGAATGCAAGCCAACTGCTGTAAGATTTCCTGAATGCTGACAAGTCTATAGAAAAATGGCTAGCACTGAAGCAGAGCCTCGACTACTGACTTCTGCTATGACATATTCCGTCTCAGTTTGCCTCCTTTTCATAGTCCTGCCAACTAGTATGGGCAACCCTTTCTTGCACAAACAGAATCACAGAGATGTGGTATCACTATGTTCAAAATATATAGGTCAAATATGTCTCTTTACATAGTATGACACTTCAAATGCGATTTAAACTGACAGAAAATATATCCGTATAATATGATTTTCTAATTACGCAACACAAAAGAATATATATCAGAAAAATGATATAATGAAGGCGTAACACTAAAATTAGACTACAGATGCGCAAAAAAACAAACATGATATTGTGAAGGCGTAACACTAAAATTAGACTACAAATGCGCAAAAAAAACAAACATGATATTGTGAAGGCCTAACACTAAAATTGGACTACAGATGCGTCAAAATCATGACAACCACAACATACAACATAAAGATAATATGTATGCTGTAAACATGACAACCAGAAGAACAACATAAAGAGAATACATACACTGAAAACATGACAACAAAAACACACAACACAAAGTGAATATGTTCACTGAAAAAAAAAGACAACCAGAATACACAACATAAAGAAAATATATGCACTGAAAATATGACAACTAGAACACACAACATAAAGAGAATATATACACTGAAAATATGACAACTAGAACACACAACATAAAGAGAATATAAACACTGAAAATATGACAACTAGAACACACAACATAAAGAGAATATGTACACTGAAAATATGACAACTAGAACACACAACATAAAGAGAATATGTACACTGAAAATATGACAACTAGAACACACAACATAAAGAAATTATCTACACTGAAAATATGACAACTAGAACAGACAACATAAAGAGAATACGTACACTGAAAATATGACAACTAGAACACACAACATAAAGAGAATACATACACTGAAAATATGACAACTAGAACACACAACATAAAGAGAATACATACACTGAAAATATGACAACTAGAACACACAACATAAAGAGAATACGTACGTTGAAAACATGAGCTCATCTGTTACATCTGCATCCACTTCCAGGTCTCCCTCAAACTCAGAAGGAATATCATTTCTAAAAACACAGCAACAACAACACTATGACCAGATAATATCCACAGATCAATAACTACTGATAAAGCTTTGGTCCTTTACAGGACATTGTAGAACCAACCCTAGTGTTTTTTTAACTGTTGTGGTTTTTCTATGTTTATTTTATGTTCAGTTATTGGGTAGACAAATGCAAGACAAACTGTCTGCAGCTGGGATCAAACCCGGCACCCCGGCGCTTGAAACGCACAGACATCGACACTGATAATGCCAGCACACACAAAAGTTAACCAACAACAAACTAACAAAGGCAATAAACTCTGAAACAATCAGTCAGCAAATAATTACGTGTAACCGTCTTGCCCTAAGAAAACTATCTGTCCAACTTTTATGGGTTTTGGTTGACATATCTTCGGACAGTACGCAGTGCCAGGCCTGTATGGCAGCTCTGATACTGTCTGCAACAACCAAGTGTGTAGACAGAGTGAATGTGATTATACTCACCCCAAACAAACTTTCTTAGATATGAAACAGATTTATAAACATTGCGGATTCACAGTTACTTCAGTCATAGAATGTCATTATTACAGCATACTGCTCTCTGAGGTAGTGACCAAACCACTTTAATATGGTCAAAGGGAAAGAAATCAGTTAATTCTTTGCCGTGTTTGTATTAGTGATTACTTCCCTTACCGCAAAAATTAACCTTTTCCCAATGAAAACATTTAGCAACCTGAAGATTTTTTTTTTTAAAAATCTTTTGCAATGTTTGTTGTGATGTTATAACAGAAACCTGCCTGTCTTATCTGTGGTCTTGGGGTTCAGCCCCTCTGGATATTTATAAAACTGACCACGATTCTGAATTTCTTCTCTTGTTTTAGTTTCTCAAAACAAAATGTCAGATGATTACAAAGATGTGTGTGTGTGTGTGTGTGATTTTTTTCCCTCCAGATTATCTCTGCCTTGATTTTTCTGTCAGAAAACTTATATCAGAGGCCAACAACCTTTGTGAAAGCTATCGTGCAGCCAAATCTCTCTGTGTTACCTTACAGCCAGACTCCCTCGATCTTTATGATTGTCATAAAAATTTCAAGACCATTTATTTTCTCATTCCCTCAATCTTCCTGATTGTCACAAAAATTCTGAGACCAGCTTCTTACTATATCAATGATTCTGGTTTTGAGAAGAACTCTTCTCATTCTCCCAATCTTCCTGATTGTCACAAAAATTCTGAGACCAGCTTCTTACTATATCAATGATTCTGGTTTTGAGAAGAACTCTTCTCATTCTCCCAATCTTCCTGGCTGTCACAATCAAAGAGTACAGAATCATCTCCTCAAACCCTGAATCTCATCAAAGTCTACAGACAAGATATCATAAATGCATGTGTTATCATTTTAATTAGATTTTTGATAGTAGATGCTCATGAAAACAAAAAATGTCTTTGGCCTTTTGCCTCATATTTTTTTTAAAGTTATCTATAATTAAACTGGAAAGAATGTTAGCATAACAGGTTATTGCAAATAAAAATACTCCAATTCAAAACTTTGTGACAACACCCCCCCCCCCCCCTCCCAGTTGAAATCCATTAGTCTACAGACAAAATTGCTGGTTGTATCTGCAACAATGCCAGAGTTATGGTTGCAGGACAGTATGGTTCTAGCCTCACCCCAACCTTGTGATCAGATAACTTTCTAGACATGAAAGGAAACTGGTCACTCCACATTCTAATGCAGTAGTCTAGAATGTGTGAAGTCCAGACACTTCACAGATGGCCTGTGCCAAAAAGCCATGAATGACACACACACACACAAAAGTTCTCACACCGAACATGAAAATGTGTTTACCTGCTGGCTCGGCATGAGAAGAAAACAATTCTCTTGAGTTTGACGTTGTAGAAAAAGTAGTTGAATGACCAGATACAGCCATCCTCGCTGAAGGGGTCTGATGACAAGTCTGGGTTGTAGCTGTCACACAGATCAATCGAGTACATTAATCAAAAGCACAGCTTGTTACCGGCAAAAACAAAAAGCACATTCACTTTGTAATTCATGTCAGCTGCCACAACTTACCTTCTCTGCTCCAGCTATTCTTAATTGTACGCTTGCATATTTTGTTTCTTTATTCTTACAGGCTCTTCTTTCACTTTGTTTACATGTGGGGTTACCTTCTCTTCCTCCACCCCCTCCCCCCCCCCCCTCCTATTACTTTGCTTGAGTTGCTGGATATGTCTCCTAGAGATGCTACATCTGTAGTCCTGCTGGCCTGCCCAGAAGCACAGATCTTGATAAGCTACACTGGCCTGGAAGAAGATAAAAAATGACTAATGTTCTGAAAGGGACCAAGACACAAAGACATCAGTGGTAACATCAGAAGAGCAGCAACACTGGATGGAACATATGAACACTGAAGAGATTTATACAAGCAGAGACTGAAGAACCTTGCCAGCCTCACATCATGGAAGGGAACATTCCAGAGTGACCAGGGGATCTGGCTGAAGTACAACACTCCAGACCAGAGTGACCAGGGGATCTGGCTGAAGCACAACACTCCAGACCAGAGTGACCAGGGGATCTGGCTGAAGTACAACACTCCAGACCAGAGTGACCAGGGGATCTGGCTGAAGTACAACACTCCAGACCAGAGTGACCAGGGGATCTGGCTGAAGCACAACACTCCAGACACAGGCTAAGAATCAGACAGGTACTGGCACCATCAGAACTGGAACTCTTCGCTTGCTGCTGAAGATAGGGACAGAGCGCTTTTGGAAGTGTCCCAAGTGGTATGATGTTGATTGTTAATTCAACATTCAACTTTCAGGGAAAACTATTGGCATATAAGAAGCATGAGTATCCCCACCAGTTGACAAAGTACTGGATGATGATGATACTGATAGATGCTTTGTAGCCACCTCAGTTGTGTCACTTGTGTCTTGTGAAGCTTGTTGTTGGTTGGTTTACTCACTGTACACAGACAATAGCCTAGCAGAGGGTCTCCCTTTCTGTTGCTAAAGGGCAGCTGTGAACAGACAACAGCCTAGCAGAGGGTCTCCCTTTCTGTTGCTAAAGGGCAGCTGTACACAGACAATAGCCTAGCAGAGGGTCTCCTTTTCTGTTGCTAAAGGGCAGCTGTACACAGACAATAGCCTAGCAGGGGGTCTCCCTTTCTGTTGTTAAAGGGCAGCTGTACACAGACAATAGCCTAGCAGAGGGTCTCCCTTTCTGTTGCTAAAGGGCAGATGTGAACAGACAGCAGCACATACTTGTAAACACTTACCTGTAAATATAGCAGTCTTTCAGACAAATCTCGTCGTCTACTGCTGACCACAGCTGTTGTTTGAAAGCTCCGAACCTGTCCCCACAGGCAGCAAACAGCGATGAGTTGATGTTCTGTTCCACCCACTGACACATCAACAATTCAATCAATCAGATATTCGCAGCATCAAATCTTCCATAAACTCAATACAATGTGTATATGAATGTTTATCAACAATGCTCAAGACTTCACATTTTTTCTCACTCTCTTCCTCTAGTTTATCAGGCTAGGATGTGTCCTCTAGTCTATCAGGCTAGGATGTGTCCTCTAGTCTATCAGGCTAGGATGTGTCCTCTAGTTTATCAGGCTAGGATGTGTCCTCTAGTCTATCAGGCTAGGATGTGTCCTCTAGTTTATCAGGCTAGGATGTGTCCTCTAGTCTATCAGGCTAGGATGTGTCCTCTAGTCTATCAGGCTAGGATGTGTCCTCTAGTTTATCAGGCTAGGATGTGTCCTCTAGTCTATCAGGCTAGGATGTGTCCTCTAGTTTATCAGGATAGGATGTGTCCTCTAGTTTATCAGGCTAGGATGTGTCCTCTAGTTTATCAGGCTAGGATGTGTCCTCTAGTTTATCAGGCTAGGATGTGTCCTCTAGTTTATCAGGCTAGGATGTGTCCTCTAGTTTATCAGGCTAGGATGTGTCCTCTAGTTTATCAGGATAGGATGTGTCCTCTAGTTTATCAGGCTAGGATGTGTCCTCTAGTTTATCAGGCTAGGATGTGTCCTCTAGTTTATCAGGCTAGGATGTGTCCTCTAGTCTATCAGGCTAGGATGTGTCCTCTAGTTTATCAGGCTAGGATGTGTCCTCTAGTTTATCAGGCTAGGATGTGTCCTCTAGTTTATCAGGCTAGGATGTGTCCTCTAGTTTATCAGGCTAGGATGTGTCCTCTAGTTTATCAGGCTAGGATGTGTCCTCTAGTTTATCAGGCTAGGATGTGTCCTCTAGTTTATCAGACTAGGATGTGTCCTCTAGTTTATCAGGCTAGGATGCATTTCTCTGTAATTAAATTATGAACAAGGCCATTGTTAAAGATTTGAATGCGGACGAACGGCTGTAATTGTCTTCATTCCATCAGCTATGTGCTGATCATCCATGCAAGTCATTCTACTACACCTGCTGACTGGACATGGCCAACTGATTTATTCTTCATAATTTATGACTACTGCACTCAATGAAGTCAGACAGACAAATACTGCAACTGACAATAAAGCTAGTTTCTCTGCCGGACTCTAGCTTTTGGCAGTTCTGCTGCTGCAACTATTAACAATCAGGATACAGCAGGTCTGTAACCGAACGCTTGCAAGTCTCCCTTTCTCTAGCCAAGGCTCCAGCCCTCTCTGTTTACATAGCCATGCCTCTTCAACATCTTGTATCCATCTTCGCGGGTGTCTGCCTCTGCCTCATGTCATAGAAACTGTGCCCTCCACAACCACTCTCACCAGGTCATCATGACCTTTAATATGGCCTAAACAGCTCAGCATTGAGAAAAGGGCGCTGTTTACAGCTACAAGGGGAAGTCAATGATTAAGTCATAAATGTTTATGGGATGGCAGCAAAATGAGGATGGTGGTTTCTAAAGGTGTCATTAGGTGACAGCAACATTGAACTTAATGTCTCCATTTGTTAGGTGGCGCTAGGTGTTGCATGCGCATTCGCAACACAGGAACAAAATGGCGACTATACTACGGAGTGAACCCTTAAAGAATAACGTGCTGTTGTTTGTTTAGGAAGTTAGTAGGGGGGGGGGGGGGGTGGGGGGGGGGGGGGGGGGGGGGTTTAAAGAGCTGCCTGCAAAGGACATTCATAAAGATGAAGAAAAGGACATGATGAACAGGATTATTACTGGGGATGAATCACGAGTGCCTTACTACCAGCCCTAATCAAAGTGTGCTTCAATGCAATAGAAACTTCCTTCTTGGCCTTGAGTTCAAGGTTATGCCATCAGCAGGGAAGGTTATGCTGACCCTCTTCTTCTTGGCTTTCACTTGCTATAAACTCCGATGGAGAGTTCTGGTTGTTCCACCATCTCTGGACAAGACCTGTACCAGAAACTAAGTGTTGCGTGCACATCCGTTTTACAGATCTGACTTATTTCTATGCAGACTGTTGGTTCCTTGCATCTCAGGCAGATGCACTCTGACTTCGAAGGAAAAGCTGACAGTGTTCTGGGATTGTCAAGGAGAGCTTTTAACCAATTTCAAAAAAAGAGGTGACAATGTGAATGCTGATTCCTACTGTAAAATTCTATCGATGCTTTGTGATACAATGTGAAGAAAATGCTCAGGCCTGCTTACTAGAGGAGTACTGCTCCTTCATGACAATGCCTGACCACACACGGCTCGGTTAACTCAGGAGAAAATTAACCATCTAGGGTGGTAACTTCTGGAACATCCACCTTACAGCCCCAACTTAGCCACTAGTGATTTCCACCTTTTTGGTCCACTGAAAACCCACCTTGGCGAGAAATTTCGCAAATGATACAGAAGTTGAATGTGAAGTTAAAATTTTATTTAGAAAACAGAGCATGCAGTTCTATGTAGCAGGTTTGGGAGGACAGATAAGACGATGAGATGAGTGCATCAGTGTTGATGGAAATTATGTTGAAAAATAAAGGGACGGTATATGTGTAATAATAAACGGTTTTCAAGTTGTTATCATCTTTAGTTTTTTTTTTTTTAAACAACCATTTGTGACTGACTGATTAGCTTCCCCTTCATTTGTGACCGACTGATTAGCTTCCCCTTTATCTGTGATTGATGGATTAGCTTCCCCTTCATTTGTGACTGATGGATTAGCTTCCCCTTCCTTTGTGACTGATGGATTAGCTTCCCCTTCATTTGTGACTGACTGATTAGCTTCCCCCTTCATTTGTGACTGATGGATTAGCTTCCCCTTCATTTGTGACTGATGGATTAGCTTCCCCTTCATTTGTGACTGACTGATTAGCTTCCCCCTTCATTTGTGACTGATGGATTAGCTTTCCCTTCATTTATGACTGACTGATTAACTTCCCCTTCTTGTGTGACTGACTGACTCATTAGCTTTTCCTCGTATTACACTTGAATTTGAAAAAAAAAAACGTTGCTAGACTTACATCCAGGCTAGTCTCTCGGCTGAACTCTGAACTCTTGGCGGTACTGAAGTCATAGTCAGGATTAAACGATGCATTCAGTGTGGAGATGAGATAGAAGAGAGTCTTGGTGGAGATGGTCCCACACAGTGATCCAGTCTCCTCATGGCTGCCCACCGTCGGTGGACTGAAAGAGAAGATGCATATCTAATAAGAGCAGGAAGTGACAAATCTAAGGTGCATGTTAGTGCACATGGAGTCAGTGACACTGACTCAGAATATCCATGACAAACTGAGCACTGGCTTAAGCTGTGACCTAGAATGTGCACTAAGAACACTGCACCAGCCTAGGCGCTGACATAGAACATGCACAAAGAAAACATCACTAACTCAGACACAGAGCATACATAAAGAGCACAGCATTGACTCAGACACTGATAAAAAAACATACGTGAAGAACATAGCACTGACACAGAACATACAGGAAGAAGATAACACTGACTCAAAAAGTGACACAGAACAAACACCTGAGATACTGAACGTACAAAATGAACATAGCACTGACTCAGGAACAAATACATAACATACACAAAGAACATAGCACTCACTTAGGAACTGACAAAGAGCGTGCACAAAGAACACAGCACTGACTCAGACACTGACATAGGACATACATGATGAAGAACTCACTCATTGGGATTAGACGTACTGTACACAGAGTAGCCGTGGGCTTGAGGTGGTGATAAGGCTTGCAGCCCACCCGGGGCTTCCCGGTTCTCTTCATTGAGTGTCTTGAACAGACGCTTGTCATTGCCTGCCATCTTGCAAGAGTAGCTCTCAATGCTGTAACAGGAAAACATACAGTGCAAAATGGCCGATAACACTGAAAGGATCCACTTCCTGTCACATGACTTAATCTTATGTGGCTGGGTCACTCTAGAGTAGTTGGTTACCAAGAGCAACTTTTGGCTGGTTGCCAACAGCATTGCTGGTTGGCTGCCAACAGCACTCTTGGTTGGTTGCCAAAAGCATTGCTGAATGGTTGTCAACAGTACTGTTGGTTGGTTGTCAAGAGCACTCTTGGCTGGTTGTCAAGAGCACTGTTGACTGGTTGTAAAGAGCACTGTTGGTTGGTTGCCAAGAACACTGTTGGTTGGTTGTCAAGGGCACTGTTGGTTGGTTGTCAAGAACATTTTTAACTGGTTGCCAAGAGAATTGCCGTAAGGATGACATGTCCATCCAGTGATGGCCCCAGGACCTCTAAAACACAAGAATTCCTCAATCAAATGATGGAGTTCAAAACTACATCCACAACCCTTTCAGTGCAAGGCAAACAGCCTAACCACAGTCACAGAGACCTTCCGACAGTATAATTAAACCATGTCTCATGGAAAGTCAACTTCTGGGCTTCAACATAATGGTACTGCTTAGCTGGCAATATACTCCGAACCTGCAACATCTCAATGTCTATATATATATATATATATATATATATATTTATTGTAGTGTGTGTGTATGTGTTCACATATTATACTCGCCTGCGGATCAGAAGGTCATGGGTTCATGTCTCAAATCTTTCTTTTAAAAAAAAAGACTTTGGCTTCCGGGTCAACCAAGCTTTAAATGGCTCCTGGGAAGTAAAGGCGGACAGCGTGCTGTTGACCATATCACCCACCGAGTGCCAATCAGTCTATAAAATATGTCTAGCCTTATACGTATATGTGTCCAATATACCTGAAGTCTAAACTGAGAACACCATTCTCAGATCAGCAAATAGGGAAACATGGCAGAACAGTATCAAACTGACTGCTTCTACCCAGAACAATTCTTGCTACCTTGTTTTCAGACTGGATCGACCTCGGAGCTTGAATCAATTTTGTAAAATATTCCTGCTTTGATAGGGATTTAAAAACATCACCATTGATCCGAGGTAGCATTAAAGCTACTGCAGAACCCATTCATAACAATATATACTTTTATTCACCAATATAGGAGAATACAATATTCATAAATAATAATGAATTCTTCTTCTTCTTCTTCACTTCCTCTTTTACCGCTGTGGGTGTCGAGGGAGATATAAGGTTCTGTTTCTGGCTCTTCTGGCCACCTCGACCATAGGCACATCATGCTGTTGTAGAGCTTCTCTGATGTTATCCTTCCATATTGTTCTTGGTCTACCTCTTGCTCTACGACCTTCTTCTCTTTCCATGTATGCTTTGTATGGTATGGTGTCACAAGACATTCTCTCTAAGTGGGCAAACCATTTCACTTGCTGTCTTTGTATGTAATTTAGAATTGGTTCTGTGCCGACTTTTTCTCTTATGATCTCATTCCTGATCTTATCTCTCATGGTCACTCCTACAGCCCTTCTCAGACATCTCATTTCCATGGTTACTAATTTTCTTTTGTGGTTTGTTGTGAGTGACCATGTCTGGCACTGGTAGCACAGAGTTGAAATAAATATGCTTTGAATAAGATGTCTCTTTGTGCTGATTGGGATTGTCTTATGAATTAACCTAAATAAATTTAATAAAAATAGCACATTAATAATTAAACTGAAATCATTAGTTTCCTGTTGTGAATTCAAATACTAATATAAACCAGATATTGCACAAAGTACTGCCAGGCATATGTTGCTGTGTCTTGTCAGGGACATACTATATCATTTACGATATTGGGACGCAAGCCACTAAATCCTTTCCAACGGATTACACGTGATTTATTACATAGCCCAGATATTCAAAGTATATGATATCTTTAAATTCTTCATCACTTACTGTTATTTTTGGGTCACAGCCTGTCTTGTCTGTGTAAATTATTTCTGTTTTCTTTAAACTCAAGAATAGGTTTTGATGTTGATTGTGTTTTTGCACAGACATGATTAAATGTTGATTGTGTTTTTGCACAGACATGATTAAATGTTAATTGTGTTTTTGCACAGACATGATTACATGTTGATTGTGTTTTTGCACAGACATGATTAAATGTTGATTGTGTTTTTGCACAGACATGATTAAATGTTGATTGTGTTTTTGCACAGACATGATTAAATGTTGATTGTGTTTTTGCACAGACATGATTAAATGTTGATTGTGTTTTTGCACAGACATGATTAAATGTTGATTGTGTTTTTGCACAGACATGATTAAATGTTCTATTCCCTTCGCATTGTTCAAAGGGAGGACTATGTGACTTCGGATAGTGATGTTCCAGAATAAGTTCTGAATTATATGTCAGATCCTCATACATTTCTCTACAGAATTCTTTCCATCTTTCTAATACCTTTGGTTTCTGCTTATGTGTTACCATTTCATAACAATATTAGATACAATATTTCAGTGAAACAATGGATAGCTTGTTTCTATGGATACAATATTTCAGTGAAACAATGGATAGCTTGTTTCTATGGATACAATAATTCCGTGAAACAATGGATAGCTTGTTTCTATGATACAATCTTTCACTGAAACAATGGATAGCTTGTTTCTATGGATTCAATAATTCAGTGAAACAATGGACAACTTGTTTCTATGGATACAATAATTCAGTGAAATAATGGACAGCTTGTTTCTATGGATACAATAATTCAGTGAAACAATGGAAAGCTTGTTTCTATGGATACAATAATTCAGTGAAACAATGGACAGCTTGTTTCTATGGATACAATATTTTAGTGAAACAATGGACAGCTTGTTTCTATGGATACAATAATTCAGTGAAACAATGGATGCCTTGTTTCTATGGATACAATAATTCAGTGAAACAATGGACAGCTTGTTTCTATGGATACAATAATTCCGTGAAACAATGGACAGCTTGTTTCTATGGATACAATAATTCAGTGAAACAATGGATGCCTTGTTTCTATGGATACAATAATTCAGTGAAACAATGGACAGCTTGTTTCTATGGATACAATAATTCAGTGAAACAATGGATGTCTTGTTTCTATGGATACAATAATTCAGTGAAACAATGGATGCGTTGTTTCTATGGATACAATAATTCAGTGAAACAATGGACAGCTTGTTTCTATGGATACAATAATTCCGTGAAACAATGGACAGCTTGTTTCTATGGATACAATAATTCAGTGAAACAATGGACAGCTTGTTTTGCTTTAAGCACAGTTTCAGTGGAACACAGACACAGTGAGTGTAACCTAAGTGAAAGGAATTCCCATTCTGGCTATCTTCCGAATGATGGTCCCAAATTATCGAGGCCGACAATATACCCTAACAGGGCCTCAGTCAGGTGTCAATTGCGGACTTCCACCACCGCTGAGACTCCCGCCATCACTGAGAATGCCTCCCACGCTGCTACGTGTGACGTGAATTGGGGCTAAACTAGATGGCTGGGACTCACGAGAAAATAAAATGAAGGAAGCTGCAGGAGTCCCAGCCATCTGCAACAGACTGTATTATAAAATGTGTATAGGAAAATATTTCAGTAAAATGAAAATGCCTGTCATGTATAGAATGTGATGACACATATATGGATATTTATTTTGTGTTAAAAAAAAACACACAAACTACAAACCGAAAATCCAGGTGAGTGTTGCTGTTTTCAAGGTCCATCGACAGTGCAGAATTGACAGCTTCAAAATTGGAATTCTCCAACAGCTTCATGTTCTGTGAGTTTCTGCTGCTCACTTGAATCCAGTAAAAATATATTTATATATGAAGTTGTTGCTGATCTACGTGTATTTATGCTACCTTCTGTGAACGCTGGCAAACAACAATGGCACTTTGAGAAAATGGACAGGGAGAAGAAACTTATCAATATAACGTTTTTAATATTTACAATGTCTCACAAGCAGTCTGTGTGTTTATGACAAGATGATCTCTGATGTGAAACTTCGTGAAACACTCGCGGCACCTTAATTGTTTTTTAGGAAACTTTTAGGATGTAAACAACTGAGTCTGTGTTTCACATTAGCTTCCACAAGTAAAATGTTATCTACGGCCAACATTTCTCCATCTTCTACAAAGTGACACACACAGTCGCGCTCCTCCCTCGCCATATCCGAATACAATTTTAGTGAAATAATACTTGTCTGGTGACGTTCTAGCAGACAATGCTACAATTTCTTATCACTTCAAATGAAAATCGCGATGATCGCCGGAGTTCCGCTCTCTGCGATAGTTGTGGCCTGTCCAAGATGCAGGACAAGGAGGAAGGCGGGTCGAGAACCAAGAAGCAAAACTCAGCACACAAAACACGATATAAAACCCGAATATTTATCAGAATTAACTCCGTTAACTAAGAAATCAACAAATTTAACAATCGATTCATCAATATAACTACAAGATGTCACTTTTCATGGAGAAAACCCGCAAAATTCGCTGCCAGAAGACCAGGAATCAAATCAGAATTTGTGTTGTTTCTGCCATTTGTAAATAACATTCCCAGGGTACCTTGCGGCGGTTACTAAAATTAGATCTTACGGAAGCGTAACGAGGTCACGGCGGGGAGCTCGGCTGTTTCCGGAGACACACGCACAAACAACGCTCACAAAGGCACACTCACTATCGCACACACACTCCGACTCTGGTTCCTGCAGCAATAACAATGACGTCAGCTGATGTACTCCGTTTGTTTACTGAACCCTGACCACAGTCCTGGACCGTTTGTTTACTGAACCCTGACCACAGTCCTGGACCTTCAAAGCAATGTTTCCCCGTTGTAAATTTGAACAAAGAAGACACAAACAATAGATTGCACAATTTATTGCCTGGCATATTTCGCTGTATCTCGTCAGGTGCATACTACAGTAACAATTACATAAATGAAGCAAATAAGTGAATCCTTTATAACTGAAACACAATTTCAACAACGATCAACCGACAGTCATGCACTGCGATTTTGCACTTCAGTTTAAATAATTCACCCAGTCGCTTCACTGTTGACTGTGGGAGGCGACGTTTCTTCTTCTGCTTTTTTTTTTCTTTTTTGATCCTTTTGTCAGAAAACTTATATCAGGAGGCCGGTAGCCTTTATGAAAGTTATTATGCAGTCCATATCCTCTTGTGTACAATACAGCTTTGTCTTCGTTGTGATTGGAACAGGCCATATTGCGTCTCTGTTGTCAGAAGAAGATGCCTTTGATAATGTCCAAAGTCTTGCACTGGTAGCACTCTTTGCTGATGACCAGGCTTTGATTTCAGACACAGCCATGAATTTGCAACAGCATCTCACATTCATGAATGAAGAATGTAAATCATATATTAAACAGGCATCTGATTTTAAATATCTTGGAACAACATTCGCTCAAGATGGTAAATTGGACAAAGAAATTGACATCCGATGCAATAAAGCTGACCAAGTATTGGGATAGCTAGCCTCCCTCTTGCAGCATACGACAATCCCAATCAGCACAAAGAAACATCTCATACAAAGCATATTCATTCCCGCCCTATGCTATCAATGCCAGACATGGTCACCCTCAACAAACCATAAAAGAAAATTAGTAAGTAAAGGTAAAAGTAAAGGACCCTTTAGGCGTATAGGGCATATAGGACTAGACCTATATTTTTATAGACCAATCGGCACAAGATGGGTGATGTTGTCAGCATCACGGCGACCGCCTTTACTTCCCGGGACTGCACCCACAGTTCTCCCGCCTCATGTACTTTCATACTCAAGGAGTCACTTATATCATGTGCCTATCTTCGTGTCAGTCGGCCCCTGCCCCTCCTTAATGGTACCATGCCTTCTGCTATAATTTTTTCCAGTCAGTCCTGGCGCTTGATATTACCAAAATATTTCAGCTTTCGAGAAAGGATACTGTTCATTATCCAATCTTCCTTGATGTTCAGATCTGTTAAGATGTCAATATTTCTCATCTTCTTTGTCAAAATATTCTGAGAATCTTTCTATAGCATTTCTGCTCAAAAGCCCCAATTCTCTTTCTTAAGGACTGAGAGATAGTCCACGACTCACATCCGTATGTAGCCACAGGGAAGATGCACAGAGAATATACTTCCCAGATATTAAAATTTTTAACTTGCTTCAAACAGTTACCCCTCAACCCGATGTGTAGCGGATTTGGAATTCTGCCGACTTGCATTAGTTCAGTTTTAGTAGTATTTGTTTAAGCTTCTGCATGTTGAATTTAGCCTGTTCAAATGTTCTTGCAGTCCACTCCCATCATTATAAAAGAGACACTGGTCGTCTGCAAATAGTAGCCCGTTTATTGTGTGTGGATCTAATTCTTCCTCTAGAAAGTTGTTCCTTTTTTTCTGTATTGTCTGGGTTGACTGCTTCAAGGCTGGCTTCTTTTGATATTCTCTTTATCAAGTAGTAAATAAGAGAGGAGAGAGTGCACATCTCTGCTTCACCCCTGTATTGATTGTAAACATATGAGAATGTCTTCGTTTGTTCTCATTGCGCTTTGGGAAGTGTGGTACATGGCCCTGGTGTTATCTAACAATTTTATCCCATCATCCTCGAGAATAGACCATAGTTTAGACTCTGTGTGGTGAGTACTGACATCTTTTGTTAGACACTGTGTGGTGAGTACTGGCACCGTTCGTTAGCCCCTGTGTGGTGAGTACTGGCACCATTTGTTAGACACTGTGTGGTGAGTACTGGCACCATTTGTTAGACACTGTGTGGTGAGTACTGACATCTTTTGTTAGCCCCTGTGTGGTGAGTACTGACACCGTTCGTTAGCCCATGTGTGGTGAGTACTGACATCTTTTGATAGTCCCTGTGTGGTGCCATAGCAACAGCAGTGTCTGTAAGATAGCCGTCATGACTTGGCACTAATAGGGAGGTTACATCAGCCGTTCGCGCTGTGCTTAGTGTTGCAATAGTCTTATCCGTTCACCAACGTTTTGTTTCGCTTCTGTTTACCTAGTCATTGTTTTACCAAAAATTAACGATGGCGACACACGAACGACGAAGATCTGAATCAACAGGATGGCCAAACTATAAACTTAATCGGCCAGCCACTCACCCTCCTCCCCCTTCGTTAACACTCGAAAGGACAATAAATTTGTAGGTTGTTTTTGCCTAAATGTTGTTGTTTGCTAATAAAAAAAGATTTGATCACCTGCCGGCATCACACCCGCTCTCCATAAAAAAAAACATGATGCGGTCGCCATCAGTTTATTGTCCTTTTTGTGTTGAATCAAACTTCTCTTGTTCCTTTCATGAAATTCTCATTTCTGCAGGTCTAGTTTGAGCGCTTTCCCTCCCCTATCATGCCTCCACCCCCTCCAAATATGCTCCCACCCCGGCACCATCTGATCAGATCATATTCATAGTTTCCTTATAATTTGCTCTGGGGCTCATCACATGTATTTTAAGATTTCATTGATGATGTATAGTCGTCATTTTAATTCTCAGGGCTCTCTTTAAATAATAAGACACTGTGTGGTGACAATCTGGCAATCCCCATTTAGTCACTAATTTATTTCTCAACAGTACTTTTTAAAAATGTTTATGTGTACTGTTTTTAAAATGTTTATGTTCAGTTTTCATTTTTGATTTCATAATAATAAAAATAAAAAAAAAGATTACAACAGATACCCTCTGAACAACTATACTTTTGGCACTTTGATTACAACAGATACCCTCTGAACAACTATTTTTTTGGCACTTTGATTACAACAGATACCCTCTGAACAACTAAACTTTTGGCACTTTGATTACAACAGATACCCTCTGAACAACTATACTTGTTGCCAGTTTCATTACAACAGATACCCTCTGAACAACTATACTTGTTGCCAGTTTCATTACAACAGATACCCTCTGAACAACTATACTTTTGACACTTTGATTACAACAGATACCTCCTGAACAACTATACTTTTGGAAATTGATTACAACAGATACCCTCTGAACAACTATACTTTTGGCACTTTGATTACAACAGATACCCTCTGAACAACTATACTTTTGGCACTTTGATTACAACAGATACCCTCTGAACAACTAAACTTTTGGCACTTTGATTACAACAGATACCCTCTGAACAACTATACTTGTTGCCAGTTTCATTACACCAGATACCCTTTGAACAACTATACTTTTGGCACTTTGATTACAACAGATACCCTCTGAACAACTTTACTTTTGGCACTTTGATTACAACAGATACCCTCTGAACAACTTTGCTTTTGGCACTTTGATTACAACATATAGCCTCTGAACAACTATACTTTTGACACTTTGATTACAACAGATACCCTCTGAACAACTATACTTGTTGCCAGTTTCATTACAACAGATACCCTTTGAAAAACTATACTTTTGGCACTTTGATTACAACAAATACCCTCTGAACAACTATACTTTTGGCACTTTGATTACAACAGATACCCTCTGAACAACTTTACTTTTGGCACTTTGATTACAACATATAGCCTCTGAACAACTATACTTTTGGCACTGTGATTACAACAGATACCCTCTGAACAACTACACTTTTGGCACTTTGATTACAACGGATACCCTCTGAACAACTATACTTTTGGCACTGTGATTACAACAGATACCCTCTGAACAACTATACTTTTGGCACTGTGATTACAACAGATACCCTCTGAACAACTATACTTTTGGCACTTTGATTATAACAGATACCCTCTGAACAACTATACTTTTGGAACCAAGGAGCCCTTATATGAAAAAGACAGCTCTGTGCCTGCCAGGTTTCAGCGCATGCGAGAAGAATTCGACAAAATTGGCATGAGGAGATCAGTCGAGGGAGTTCTGATTGTGTATGAGCATGGTTTGCCTCATGTCCTACTTCTTCAGCTGGGAACAACATTTTTTAAGTTGTAAGTAACCATCATCTTGTGTTAACAGTCATGTTGTCACAGAAAGGCCCAGCGTATACTTGTAATGGGCATTAACTCTTATCACTACCACCCAGCAGTTACTTCAATTCATAGTATCTAAAGAAGTTAAAAGTCCAAGCATAAAGCAGCCACTGTGTGAGTCTGAGCAAACTAAAGTTATGACACTGTGGGACTTCAGGAGCTAAGCTAACAAGTAGAATCATCATCATGTAGCATGTCTTTTTGCAGAACCTCACTCTCGTCACAGTATGCTTAAAAAAAACCAAAAAACCTGGTCTCTCATCAACTCTTCCGCATCATGTACCTTCCTACCCTAGGTGTCACTTATATCATGTGGCTTTTTTGGGCTGTTCGGCCCTTTCCATCTTTGCTAGTCCCATGCCTTCTGCTCTCATTCTTTTCAGTTCGTCAAACTATTTCATTTTCTGAGACAAGATGCTGTTTACTAGGCAATCTCTGTTGATGTTTGGATCTGTTAGGATGATTATTTCTTTTTATGTTAGAAAAGTATGTGCTTACCAGGGACTTACGTATTGTGAATAATAGATTCCCGCTGTGACCAAAATAGTGTTCATGTTAACCTAGTGTTTGTCTTAAGCGCGTTGATGTTAACAAGCTATTACTGTATTTGGACAGGTTAAACAGCTAAACAACAAATATATGATCGGCACAGGTTCAGTATCAATGTGCCTTGTTAAGTGAACTGGAGAACCATGATTTCCTTTAGACCAAGCTGCTAAAGAACAAACAAAGTTGTAAATACTCTCACTGCTATACAGTGCAGAAATATTGACAGTGAGCAGTTTAAAAAAATGCTATAGGTTGTATCCTGACAGTATGTTTTTGTTTGTCTGTTGGTATCATACACTGCCGAGATACTTTGCTCTCAGCTAGCCCTTAATTATGAAACAACTGTTTACTTTGTTGCGTGTAGGCCTGGCGGAGAGCTGAGTGCTGGAGAGGACCAAGTGGAGGGGTTGAAAAGACTGTTGACTGAGGTAAGTGACTGTAGTTTGCTTGTCTGTTGATGCCATGTATGTAGAGAAACAGCTGGGCACCTCATCCAGTTAGAATAGGTACTTTCAGTACGTTGGTTTACTGTCAGTATATTCAGCCTGCTTCAGTCAGAAATTGTATGTTTAGGACTGTTGAGCCTGGTTCAATAAGAAGTACTTTGAGTTATAATGGACCTGGTTTAACCAATCACAGATTTGCCATACAGTATTACTAAACCTGGTTTAACCAGTGTCAGATTTGACATGACAGGATTATTAAGTCCGGTTTAATCAGTTAAAGATTTAACATACAATATTACTGACCCTGGTTTAACCAGTCACAGATTTAGCTTTAGTAAAGGTTTCTAATTCACTGCAATTGGGTTTCCCCATACTCACCCCAGTGCAAATCAAACGAAATGTCCCTCACTTTCTCATTTGGAAAACTTGTGAACAAACTGTTAGTCCTAGAACAATCCAGAATCCCAGAACTGATACATGATGTTTGACAGATTGATTAACTGATACATGTTGTTTGACAGATTGATTAACTGATACATGTTGTTTGACAGATTGATTAACTGATACATGTTGTTTGACAGATTGATTAACTGATACATGTTGTTTGACAGATTGATTAATTGATGCATGTTGTTTGACAGATTGATTAACTGATACATGTTGTTTGACAGATTGATTAATTGATGCATGTTGTTTGACAGATTGATTAATTGATGCATGTTGTTTGACAGATTGATTAACTGATACATGTTGTTTGACAGATTGATTAACTGATACATGTTGTTTGACAGATTGATTAATTGATGCATGTTGTTTGACAGATTGATTAACTGATACATGTTGTTTGACAGATTGATTAATTGATGCATGTTGTTTGACAGATTGAGTAACTGATACATGTTGTTTGACAGATTGATTAACTGATACATGTTGTTTGACAGATTGATTAACTGATACATGTTGTTTGACAGATTGATTAACTGATGCATGTTGTTTGACAGATTGATTAACTGATACATGTTGTTTGACAGATTGATTAACTGATACATGTTGTTTGACAGATTGATTAACTGATGCATGTTGTTTGACAGACTCTAGGTAGGCAGGATGGGGCACCGATGGATTGGGTCATTGAAGATACAATAGGCAACTGGTGGAGACCAAACTTTGAACCATCACAGGTGAGAGTATAGAACAGCCCAGGGAAAACATTCTGTAGTTTCTTTCATTCTGTTTTCTGGGTGTCTCATTGTTGCATTTTTTAATTTTGTGTGTAGGCATAATGTGCTTTTGATTTACCTTGCTGCAGAAGACAGCCGAAGACGGACAAGATAACTGCTCTATTAGGATTGGGTAAGGTTTTCCTGTCACTGAAAAAATCTTTTGTGAAATTATTCACAGTGAATTCTAGCCAAGGAAAATTGGTACAGGAGACAGGGTTAAGAAAGTTGGAATAAGACCATGTCTGAATTATATTGACAAAGTATGAAATGGTTCAGCCACCTCGTGCAAATGCAGCCAGACCAAACTGCATATAAGACATGTTACAGCAGAATGTCTGGGAGAAAAGTAAGACCAAGAAAGAGATGCATAAATATGACAGGTGAAACCTGCAAAAAGATGAACAAATCTGCAGCCCTAGCTACCAGTTAAGCACAAAATGAATACAGACAACCGTGACACTGGGCTACAATCTGGCAGCAGTGAGAAGTCACAGGGCTACAACCTGGTAGCAGTGAGATGACACTGGGCTACAACCTGGTAGCAGTGAGATGACACTGCGCTACAACCTGGTAGCAGTAAGAAGACACTGGGCTACAACCTGGTATCAGTAAGAAGACACTGGGCTACAACATGGTAGCAGTGAGAAGTCACGGGCTACAATCTGGTAGTAGTGAGAAGTCACAGGGCTACAACCTGGTAGTAGTGAGGTGGCACTGGGCTACAACCTAGTAGCAGTAAGAAGACACTGGACTACAACCTGGTAGTAGTGAGAAGTCACAGGGCTACAACCTGGTAGCTGTGAGACGACACTGGGTTACAACCTGGTAGTAGTGAGAAGTTACACCGCTACAACCTGGTAGTAGTGAGGTGGCACTGAGCTACAACCTGGTATCAGTGAGAAGACACTGGGCTACAACCTGAATCAGTGTGATGACTCTAGGCTACAACCTGATAGCAGTTAGATAACACTGGGCTACAAACTGGTAGCAGTTAGATAACACTGGGCTACAACCTGGTAGCAGTGAGAAGACACTGGGCTACAACCTTGTAGCAGTAAAATGACACTGGGCTACAACCTGGTAGCAGTGAGATGACACTGGGCTACAACCTGGTAGCAGTTAGATAACACTGGGCTACAACCTGGTAGCATTAAGAAGACACTGGGCTACAACCTGGTAGCAGTAAGAAGACACTGGGCTACAACCTGGTAGCAGTAAGATGACACTGGGCCACAACCTGGTAACAGTAAAAAGACACTGGGCTACAACCTGGTATCAGTAAGAAGACACTGGGCTACAACCTGGTAGCAGTAAGAAGACCCTGGGCTACAACCTAGTAGCAGTAGAAGACACTGGGCTACAACCTGGTATCAGTGAGATGACACTGGGCTACAACCTGGTATCAGTAAGATAACACTGGGCTACAACCTGGTAGCAGTTAGATAACACTGGGCTACAACCTTGTAGCAGTAAAATGACACTGGGCTACAACCTGGTAGCAGTGACACGACAATGGGCTACAACCTGGTAGCAGTTAGATAATACTGGGCTACAACTTGGTAGCAGTAAGAAGACACTGGGCTATAACCTGGTATCAGTGAGATGACACTGGGCTACAACCTGGTAGCAGTAAGAAGACACTGGGCTACAACCTGGTAGCAGTAAGAAGACACTGGGCTACAACCTGGTAGCAGTAAGAAGACACTGGGCTACAACCTGGTAGCAGTAAGAAGACACTGGGCTACAACCTGGTAGCAGTAAGAAGACACTGGGCTACAACCTGGTATCAGTAAGAAGACACTGGGCTACAACCTGGTAGCAGTAAGAAGACACTGGGCTACAACCTGGTATCAGTAAGAAGACACTGGGCTACAACTTGGTAGCAGTAAGAAGACACTGGGCTACAACCTGGTAGTAGTGAGAAGTCACAGTGCTACAACCTGGTAGTAGTGAGGTGGCACTGGGCTACAACCTGGTAGCAGTAAGAAGACACTGGGCTACAACCTGATAGTAGTGAGATGTCACAGGGCTACAACCTGGTAGCAGTGAGACGACACTGGGCTACAACCTGGTAGTAGTGAGAAGTCACAGGGCTACAACCTGGTATCAATGTGATGACACTGGGCTACAACCTGGTAGCAGTTAGATAACACTGGGCTACAAACTGGTAGCAATTAGATAACACTGGGCTACAACCTGGTAGCTGTGAGAAAACACTGGGCTACAACCTTGTAGCAGTGAGTCGACACAGGGCTACAACCTGGTAGTAGTGAGGTGGCACTGGGCTACAACCTGGTGTCAGTGAGAAGACACTGGGCTACAACCTGGTATCAATGTGATGACACTGGGCTACAACCTGGTAGCAGTTAGATAACACTGGGCTACAAACTGGTAGCAATTAGATAACACTGGGCTACAACCTGGTAGCTGTGAGAAAACACTGGGCTACAACCTTGTAGCAGTGAGTCGACACTGGGCTACAACCTGGTAGCAGTTAGATAACACTGGGCTAAAACCTGGTAGCAGTAAAAAGACACTGGGCTACAACCTGGTAGCAGTAAAAAGACACTGGGCTACAATCTGGTAGCAGTGAGATGACACTGGGCTACAACCTGGTAGCAGTTATATAACACTGTGCTACAACCTGGTAGTAGTAAGAAGACACTGGGCTACAACCTGGTATCAGTAAGAAGACACTGGGCTACAACCTGGTATCAGTGAGATGACACTGGGCTACAACCTGGTAGCAGTGAGACGACACTGGGCTACAACCTGGTAGCAGTAAGAAGACACTGGGCTACAACCTGGTATCAGTAAGAAGACACTGGGCTGCGACCTGGTAGCAGTAAGAAGACACTGGGCTGTGACCTGGTAGCAGTAAGAAGACACTGGGCTACAACCTGGTAGCAGTAAGAAGACACTGGGCTGCGACCTGGTAGCAGTAAGAAGACACTGGGCTACAACCTGGTAGCAGTAAGAAGACACAGGGCTACAACCTGGCAGCAGTGAGACGAGACTGGGCTACAACCTGGTAGCAGTTATATAACACTGGGCTACAACCTGGTAGCAGTGAGATGACACTGGGCTACAACATGGTTGCAGTAAGAAGACACTGGGCTAGAACCTGGTAGCAGTAAGAAGACACTGGGCTACAACCTGATAGCAGTGAGGTGACACTGGGCTACAACCTAGTAGCAGTGAGATGACACTGGGCTACAACCTGGTAGCAGTAAGAAGACACTGGGCTACAACCTGGCATCAGTACGAAGACACTCACTGCAACCTGGTAGCAGTGAGATGACACTGGGCTACAACCTGGTAGCAGTGAGATAACACTGGGCTACAACCTGGTAGCAGTGAGATGACAGAAGAAGAAGAAAAAGAACTGTAGAAAAGGTTGTGTTGCTTCTCTCTCTCAGCTTTATCATCTTGTAAACATTGTTTCCATCTTGTTGTCCCCAGTGACCTCACTTCAGTTGTCACTGTTCATCTTCTTTCAGACCTAACTGTACCTTTTTAACTTCTTCTTCTTCTCATTCACCAGCTGTAAACCCTGACAGAAAGTTTTGGTTGTTCATCCACTTCTGGACTTGTTCTAGAAACTGAGTTTTGCATGCACTTCCATTTTACAGATCTGGCTTATTTGTATTATGCAGAATGTTGGTTGCTTGCATCTCAGGCAGATGCACTGACTTTGAAGGAAACATCCATAATTAGTCACCTCTTTCCACATGCTTATTAGGGGACAGTTTTTCCCACAAAGGGACTTCAGAACCCACATAGGGACTTCAGAACCCACATAGGGACTCAGAATGCACATAGGGACTTCAGAACCCACATAAGGACTTCAGAACCCACATAGGGACTTCAGAACCCACATAAGGACTTCAGAACCCACATAGGGACTTTAGAACCCACATAGGGACTTCAGAACCCACATAAGGACTTCAGAACCCACATAGGGACTTTAGAACCCACATAGGGACTTCAGAACCCACATAGGGACTTCAGAACCCACATAAGGACTTCAGAACCCACATAGGGACTTTAGAACCCACATAGGGACTTCAGAACCCACATAGGGACTTCGTAACTATTTATTTAGCTATCGTCCATATGTTATTTCATTGATAACTAAATAGTGGAAGAAAACAAATTCAAGTATTGATTCTTCTTTCCTTTATCCCCCGATGAATGATATAAACAAACCCCCTCCCCCAAGCAACTCATAGCGAGTTGGTCTATTCTTTTGCTATGTAGCTAACGCCTATTATCCTCCCCAACTTTTTTCACCTCATTCTGTCCTTCCCTTTTGCATGTCTTTTTTGATCTGCCCATTTTGTTTGTGTCATATGGATTCCTGTGCAAATACGTTCAGTTTGTATGTATCAGGTATCTCTCTCAGTGCAAATAATGGGACATTTTTTAAAATGTGTACATTTTCCAGACTTTGAATGAGCAAGTCCTAAATGGGAACTAACCACTGAAGCATCATGATAAGATTACAGGGACATGCCATGGGTCTGGCCATTAGGCAAGCTAGATCAGCTCTCATATTTTATGCTGGTCATTAGGCAAGCTAGATCAGCTCTCATATTTTATGCTGGTCATTAGGCAAGCTAGATCAGCTCTCATATTTTATGCTGGTCATTAGGCAAGCTAGATCAGCTCTCATATTTTATGCTGGTCATTAGGCAAGCTAAATCAGCTCTCATATTTTATGCTGGTCATTAGGCAAGCTAGATCAGCTCTCATATTTTATGCTGGTCATTAGGCAAGCTAGATCAGCTCTCATATTTTATGCTGGTCATTAGGCAAGCTAGATCAGCTCTCATATTTTATGCTGGTCATTAGGCAAGCTAGATCAGCTCTCATATTTTATGCTGGTCATTAGGCAAGCTAGATCAGCTCTCATATTTTATGCTGGCCATTAGGTAAGCTAAATCAGCTCTCATATTTTATGCTGGTCATTAGGCAAGCTAAATCAGCTCTCATATTTTATGCTGGCCATTAGGCAAGCTAAATCAGCTCTCATATTTTATGCTGGCCATTAGGCAAGCTAAATCAGCTCTCATATTTTATGCTGGCCATTAGGCAAGCTAGATCAGCTCTCATATTTTATGCTGGTCATTAGGCAAGCTAGATCAGCTCTCATATTTTATGCTGGTCATTAGGCAAGCTAGATCAGCTCTTATATTTTATGCTGGTCATTCATTCATTCATTCATTCAGTAGCATGTCCCTCGCGGAACCTCGCTGCCATAACAACCCTCCGGAAAACCTTCCTATCCTGAGCAAGATGTCCTGCGTCTGATACACCCATCTGGAGATCATCTGCCACATCCTGCACCCATCTTCTCCTTGGCCTTCCTCTTCCTCTCTTCCCAGGCATATACCCCTCCATTATTGTTCTCTCTAGACTTCCATGACGTTTCAAGTGACCAAAATATTTAAATTTTCTTTGTTTTATTGTCTTTACTAGCCAACCCTCTTCAATATTCAGCTCTTGAAGTATGGATGCATTTGTTCTTTTCTTTACCCAAGATATTCTTAGAACCTGTCTGTAACATTTATATTCAAATGCATTTATGTGCTGTTCCGCTTGTTTAGTAAGTGTCCAGGTCTCACAGGCGTATGTTGCAATGGGAAAGATGCATGCTCTTAAAAATCTGACCTTTGTAGTTCTATCTGTACAATTTCATAATTTATTCAGTTGTTTTAGTTTTTGAAGAGCAATTGATAGTCGCCGTTTAATTTCTTTCATTGTGTCACCATTGTTGGTAACCAGTGACCCAAGATATTCAAAATTTTCCACCACTTCCAATCTTTCCTCATTAACATATATTTCCTTCTCCATGGCAGTTTTGTTTGTATGCATTATCTTTGTTTTTGCTATGTTAAGAAATAAGTTATGATTTTCACTATTTCTTTGGAGTGAGGTTAATAAGTTTTCTAAACCATTTTGTGATGTTGATAGTAATACTGTATCATCAGCATAACGAATTTCTGGTATTTCATGACCACCGATGTTTAGTGCATCATATTGTTCCTTGTTTATATCATATTGTTTATATCATATTTTATGCTGGTCATTAGGCAAGCTAGATCAGCTCTTATATTTTATGCTGGTCATTAGGCAAGCTAAATCAGCTCTCATATTTTATGCTGGTCATTAGGCAAGCTAGATCAGCTCTTATATTTTATGCTGGTCATTCATTCATTCATTCATTCAGTAGCATGTCCCTCGCGGAACCTCGCTTCCATAACAACCCTCCGGAAAACCTTCCTATCCTGAGCAAGATGTCCTGCGTCTGATACACCCATCTGGAGATCATCTGCCACATCCTGCACCTATCTTCTCCTTGGCCTTCCTCTTCCTCTCTTCCCAGGCATATACCCCTCCATTATTGTTCTCTCTAGACTTCCATGACGTTTCAAGTGACCAAAATATTTAAATTTTCTTTGTTTTATTGTCTTTACTAGCCAACCCTCTTCAATATTCAGCTCTTGAAGTATGGATGCATTTGTTCTTTTCTTTACCCAAGATATTCTTAGAACCTGTCTGTAACATTTATATTCAAATGCATTTATGTGCTGTTCCGCTTGTTTAGTAAGTGTCCAGGTCTCACAGGCGTATGTTGCAATGGGAAAGATGCATGCTCTTAAAAATCTGACCTTTGTAGTTCTATCTGTACAATTCCATAATTTATTCAGTTGTTTTTGTCTTTGAAGAGCAATTGATAGTCGCCGTTTAATTTCTTTCATTGTGTCACCATTGTTGGTAACCAGTGACCCAAGATATTCAAAATTTTCCACCACTTCCAATCTTTCCTCATTAACATATATTTCCTTCTCCATGGCAGTTTTGTTTGTATGCATTATCTTTGTTTTTGCTATGTTAAGAAATAAGTTATGATTTTCACTATTTCTTTGGAGTGAGGTTAATAAGTTTTCTAAACCATTTTGTGATGTTGATAGTAATACTGTATCATCAGCATAACGAATTTCTGGTATTTCATGACCACCGATGTTTAGTGCATCATATTGTTCCTTGTTTATATCATATTGTTTATATCATATTTTATGCTGGTCATTAGGCAAGCTAGATCAGCTCTTATATTTTATGCTGGTCATTAGGCAAGCTAAATCAGCTCTCATATTTTATGCTGGTCATTAGGCAAGCTAGATCAGCTCTCATATTTTATGCTGGCCATTAGGCAAGCTAGATCAGTTCTCATATTTTATGCTGGTCATTATGCAAGCTAGATCAGCTCTCATATTTTATGCTGGCCATTAGGCAAGCTAAATCAGCTCTCATATTTTATGCTGGTCATTAGGCAAGCTAGATCAGCTCTCATATTTTATGCTGGTCATTAGGCAAGCTAGATCAGCTCTCATATTTTATGCTGGTCATTAGGCAAGCTAAATCAGCTCTCATATTTTATGCTGGCCATTAGGCAAGCTAAATCAGCTCTTATATTTTATGCTGGCCATTAGGCAAGCTAAATCAGCTCTTATATTTTATGCTGGTCATTAGGCAAGCTAGATCAGCTCTTATATTTTATGCTGGCCATTAGGCAAGCTAGATCAGCTCTCATATTTTATGCTGGTCATTAGGCAAGCTAGATCAGCTCTCATATTTTATGCTGGTCATTAGGCAAGCTAGATCAGCTCCTATATTTTATGCTGGCCATTAGGCAAGCTAGATCAGCTCTCATATTTTATGCTGGCCATTAGGCAAGCTAGATCAGCTCTCATATTTTATGCTGGCCATTAGGCAAGCTAAATCAGCTCTCATATTTTATGCTGGCCATTAGGCAAGCTAGATCAGCTCTCATATTTTATGCTGGCCATTAGGCAAGCTAGATCAGCTCTCATATTTTATGCTGGCCATTAGGCAAGCTAAATCAGCTCTCATATTTTATGCTGGCCATTAGGCAAGCTAGATCAGCTCTCATATTTTATGCTGGTCAGAGTATACACTCTTGTATGCTCTATGTGGTCAGAGCTCTAGCTAGAATTCACAAGAAGAGCAACCAAGCACTATATACGGCTTCATACTTAAAGTCAGTTAACTATACACTCAACGTATCTGTAGTTCCTAACTCTTGCAGTATGCATACACACCAGCCCATATTCTTTGTTTCTCCATGCGGTGAGATGAAATATTTGTGTATTTTATTAACAACATATTGATTTGTTTGTGTTATTGTTGCAGTATCCCTACATACCAGCCCATATGTTGTTGTTGCTCATCTGTTGCAGTATCCCTACATACCACTTATATGTTTTTGTTGCTTATCTGTTGCAGTATCCCTACATACCAGCCCATATGTTGTATGTTGCAGTATCCCTACATACCAACCTATATTGATCTGTTTGTGTTGTATGTTGCAGTATCCCTACATACCAGCACATACTGATCTGTTTGTGTTGTCTGTTGCAGTATCCCTACATACCAACCCATACTGATCTGTTTATGTTGTTTGTTGCAGTATCCCTACATACCAGCACATATATTGTTGTTGCTTGTCTGTTGCAGTATCCCTACATACCAGCTCGTATGTTGTTGTTGTTGTTGCTCATCAATCGCAGTATACTGCCCATACTGATCTGTTTATGTTGTATGTTGCAGTATCCCTACATACCAGCCCATATTACTAAACCCAAAGAGCACAAACGACTCTTCCTGGTGCAGCTGCCTGAGAAAGGTAGGTGCAGTTAGAACCAGCATGACCGTTGCCTAACACAGACTGTCTAGAGACTGGCTTTAGGTGTTGCCTAACACAGACTGTCTAGAGACTGGCTTTAGGTGTTGCCTAACACAGACTGTCTAGAGACTGGCTTTAGGTGTTGCCTAACATAGACTGTCTAGAGACTGGCTTTAGGTGTTTTATCACATTTACTGGCTCATATTCTATGTCGTGTTTATGGGTTGTACAATTGATCTGAACAGTGTAGTCTGACTCCTACAAGTTGTAAACATTGAAGAAAAAAGCTACCATATAAACAGTGTGATATCCCAGAAACTTTGACTTCAGACTTCATGTTGTTTAAACAGAGGGGTACTAGACGGCTTGGTGCTTGTGAAACAAATCAGGCCAGGTGCTAGTTTGGCAGTCCAGTGGATGGATGTGTCTGTTAGGTACCCCTGGAATGTTAAAATTGATTTTGTTTGGCATAGACTTAAATAGATCTAAAGCTGTGAGGAGAACAGTAGAAGTAGTTCATACTTGTGACAAGTGTTCCTTTTGTGTAGCCGGAATTAAAAAGTTAGTTGTGATAGCCAAGATGATGTTTTCACTATTATTCCAGATGCATCCACTACAGCCTTCCATGACTTTGTTCAGACTGCTAGTTTATTTGTGAACAACTACACCAGATACTGTTGATGTACTTAGCCAGTGACTACCTGGGAGCTATAAGAATAAATGGGTGGCTACTCAATAGCTGATAACTTTGTGATAACTTTGTGATAACTTTGTGTGGAAGCCAGACTAACTTTGCAATTATGAGTACTCAAATAAAGATTCTTGAGAATTGGAAACATGGTGACCAGCGTTTACCTGTTAACAAAAGTGCGGGCCTGCTAACAAAAATAACAACAGTATCTCTGTCCCATCTTTTAAAGGTGTCTGACAGCAAATGATGATGGTGATAATAGTGGTGATGATAATGATAATTGTGAAGGGGCTGCTAAACATTTTTTTTTCTCTTTCTTCACTTTCTCTTTGACTGCTTTGAGTGTCAGGGAAAGTGTAAGTTCCTGCTTCTGGCTCCTCTCAATGCCTGGGCCTAGACACATCATCTGTGGAAGTTTCTCTGTTATCTGTCCCTCTTGTTCTTGGTCTACCCTGTGCTCTACATCCTTCTCCTCTCTATGTTGCTAAAGATCGAGGAGGTAAAAGAAGAATGTTCCGGTGTTAATTATAAAACATATTCCATCTACCAGCCCTGTTTGCTGTCCCCCGTAACTACAAGCTGGTGGCAGCTCCATTGTTTGAGCTGTATGACAACGCCGCAGGTTACGGACCCATCATCTCTAGTTTGCCACAAGCTCTGGCTAGGTAAGTGCACACAGTTTATAATCAGACAGTTATGTATTTAGATGGGACTATCAGTTATTACAGATTGATTAGAAAACTTGCTGACACATGAAGAAAAGGCAAAATGATGTCAAATATTGAGAAAAATTATTGAAACGCAGTGGATAATTTCCTTACACATAAGAAGGGTACACAACTCTCCAGGATATATGGTGTGTTACGTTTAGAAAGAATAATCTTCCTTGAAAGAGTGACATAATAGCTTTGGTGAGTGAATGAATCAAGAAATGACATCATCGCACAAAGAACAATCCCATAAGTGTCCCGTCCACTTCCTGAGTAGCCAACAAAGAGTTCACTACTGATGGTGCCTGATGAAAAATGTGTCTGTTGTTTCCCTTGTGGTTAGAACATCATCCAGACCCTGCTAGCTGAATCATGCTCTCCACAGATGGATACTGTCTGTGTTCTGTTGCACAGTTCACTTGGTTCCAGGGAGCCTTCTCCAGCAGCCTTGGGTAGATATTGAAAGCATATAGAATAATAGAATTCTACATACTGCAACCCGTATCCTAGACTCTGACACAACACAATTGTTTTAGAGCAAATACAGCTGTGGATTTCCCTTGCTTTCCACTGGTGGTTGTGTGATTGATACTCAGTAATGAAGAAAGTACAAACATTATTGTATGTGACTTCAGACAAGAAGAAGAGAAGAATAGATCCATTTCCTTTGACAAGCATTTTGTAAAAAGGCAGTTAATGAATGGCTTGCCAAGATATCCAACTGATTACACCGGATAGAACAGAATAGAGAATATACTATGATCACTGTGTGATATATGTTGGCACAACAGGACAATACAAGACTAATCTAGAACTTTCCAGACTGTGTGTCACCACAAATCAGTGCATCAGATGCACTGTGAAGGTGGTGTGTCACAACACATTAGTGTGTCACCTGCAGTGTCTGAAGGTGTGTCACAACACATTGGTGTGTCACCTGCAGTGTCTGAAGATGTGTCACAACACATTAGTGTGTCACCTGCAGTGTCTGAAGATGTGTCACAACACATTAGTGTGTCACCTGCAGTGTGTGAAGATGTGTCACAACACATTAGTGTGTCACCTGCAGTGTGTGAAGATGTGTCACAACACATTGGTGTGTCACCTGCAGTGTCTGAAGATGTGTCACAACACATTAGTGTGTCACCTGCAGTGTGTGAAGATGTGTCACAACACATTAGTGTGTCAACCTGCAGTGTGTGAAGATGTGTCACAACACATTAGTGTGTCACCTGCAGTGTCTGAAGATGTGTCACAACACATTAGTGTGTCACCTGCAGTGTCTGAAGATGTGTCACAACACATTAGTGTGTCACCTGCAGTGTCTGAAGATGTGTCACAACACATTAGTGTGTCACCTGCAGTGTCTGAAGATGTGTCACAACACATTAGTGTGTCACCTGCAGTGTCTGAAGATGTGTCACAACACATTAGTGTGTCACCTGCAGTGTCTGAAGATGTGTCACAACACATTAGTGTGTCACCTGCAGTGTCTGAAGATGTGTCACAACACATTAGTGTGTCACCTGCAGTGTCTGAAGATGTGTCACAACACATTAGTGTGTCACCTGCAGTGTCTGAAGATGTGTCACAACACATTAGTGTGTCACCTGCAGTGTCTGAAGATGTGTCACAACACATTAGTGTGTCACCTGCAGTGTCTGAAGATGTGTCACAACACATTAGTGTGTCACCGGCAGTGTCTGAAGATGTGTCACAACACATTAGTGTGTCACCTGCAGTGTCTGAAGATGTGTCACAACACATTAGTGTGTCACCTGCAGTGTCTGAAGATGTGTCACAACACATTAGTGTGTCACCTGCAGTGTCTGAAGATGTGTCACAACACATTAGTGTGTCACCTGCAGTGTCTGAAGATGTGTCACAACACATTAGTGTGTCACCTGCAGTGTCTGAAGATGTGTCACAACATATTAGTGTGTCACCTGCAGTGTCTGAAGATGTGTCACAACACATTAGTGTGTCACCTGCAGTGTCTGAAGATGTGTCACAACACATTAGTGTGTCACCTGCAGTGTCTGAAGATGTGTCACAACACATTAGTGTGTCACCGGCAGTGTGTGAAGATGTGTCACAACACATTAGTGTGTCACCGGCAGTGTCTGAAGATGTGTCACAACACATTAGTGTGTCACCGGCAGTGTCTGAAGATGTGTCACAACACATTAGTGTGTCACCGGCAGTGTCTGAAGATGTGTCACAACACATTAGTGTGTTACCGGCAGTGTCTGAAGATGTTTCACAACACATTAGTGTGTCACCGGCAGTGTGTGAACATAAAGTGATAATCAGAATAATGGGTACACAGCGCAGTGCTAATGTCTTTATAACAGTTCGCTGCCGTATGGAAATTGTTAACTTTCTGTTAGTTTCACCTACTTTAATGGTTCAGTAGTAGGTTAGAGTCTTGTATGTATTCGATATGTTGTTGTTTGTTAGAAGACTTCATCACTGTGTTCCGAAGTTGAGTTTATCCAAACAAAAGTGTTACATTCAGTAAGAAATGTGTCACCAACATGAAAAGGTTTGAAAGCTCTGGGATAATGTGTACTTACAGCGTTGAGTGTTCTGTGTGAAGCTGAGAAGTGACATGACATCTCTCCAGACATTCCCATAACTTGCCGCTGTGATTATAGTATGTGCTGTCCGTGATCTCATATGTGTGGTCCGT